CACAAAGCTTGTCGATGTCGGCCGGTTGATCGTCGTCCATGGATTTCTTCAGATGGATGGCGTACAGCTCCACACCTTTCTTGACCGCGCATGTCAGAATGATAGCATTGACGCGTGTTGTTATCGGCTCTGCTCCTCGCCAACTCGGCAATGTCTGCCGACTAGTCGCACACTTCACTGTGCATTCGCCCGTCGTCCAATCGATCTGCGGGTTGTGTCACCGAAGCCTATCTCATCCCAGAGCACATCGTAGCTGTCAAGTGTTATCGTCGACATCGGCGTGCTGAAGCCGAAATTGTCACCACACTTCATGCGAACAGTTCGCACGCGATCGCGTATCACCAGCGGGGTGTCGCCGACCAATCGGGCGTCGATCTCGAGCAGACGCTACTCTAGGGGTAAATTTATTTTTGTCGCCGTCGGTCGATGAATCACGCTGTGGCTCGCACCACCATCGATGAAGACTTTTTACGTTTTTGTCGTTAACCCTTCCTTCTACCAGCATAGGGTGATCCACAAGTTCATCCCTGTTATTTGTCCGAGAGCGGTCGATAGCGTGTATCGGTACCACTACCTGTGGAGATGCTGTTTCTCGGGCGATGCAACTGTGTCCATAGGGGGCCCGTCTGCTACTGACGAGAGTCGTTTCTTGCCCTATCCCCATCGTCGTTTTTCCTCTACTTTCGGTCAAGGTAGTCGGCATATCGGTGACTCGGCTGGTGGTAGTGAAAGCACTGTCGCTTTCTGCGATCTTCCTCGTTCGCCACAATGCCGTTGATCCTGGCCACAAAAAGGATTTCCCTTCCGAGAACTCGATTTCGCGTATTTTGTATTGGCGCCATGCAGGTCGGCGATCACCACTGCTTCTTGGAACGTCATTGGGCGTCGCATCCTCACTTCGGAGCGAACGTCGGATTCGAGCCCCACGATGAACCGATTCTTTTTTTCCGCTTTTGATAGGTCAGGGATCTGGTCGCACAGTGCCTGAAATGATTACGTATAATCCTGGTCGGAGGTCAACTGCCGCTAGGTGTCCAGCTTCGTGTGTGCGTTGTCCGAGACGGATATGGGCTCAAAACTTGCGCGCAGAGCTGTACCCCACGCTTTCCACGTGCAAAATCTCGGTCGATCCGAAAATTGACGTTGCGTCCCGGGCAGCAGATTCTAAACTCCCGAAGAACCCCTGAGTGTTCCCTGCCAAAGTTCCCGTCTCACTTAGCGTCGATCGCCACCCATCCATTGTAGGTCCCCTCAGTAGCGAAACTGCCAGTTTGATTTTAAAGCATCAACAGTCATCCAAACAACATCGAAATAAAGCTCCATCGCAAAAAGCCAGCCCGTGATGGTGGTGTTTTTGTCCACGGGGTTAAAAGGGGGCGGCATCGGCGCCTTTATCTTGGCCACTGGTACAGTTGGTGTGGCTGCGACTGCTGCAGAAACTGTTGCTGCTGCTTCGGAGCAGGTGGCGGCCATTGTCGCAGCTGCTGTAGCTGCCGTGGCACGTGCAGTGGCATTCGTTGTTGCTTCAGCTTCATCATTATGGCGCTCCTGCGACACTTCGTGTGCGATTTCGTCTAATACTGTTTCGACACGTCTCGTGTTGGTGGCGTCCTCGGGGGCGGGCGGCTTCTGGCACGTAGTCTCTTGCGCCTGGCGAAGTTCGGTAACTTTGATGCGAAGTTTATCCTTGTCGTTTAACACAGCCTGCGGGCGAGCGTCAGTGGCGGCGAATCTCGCCAACCGCTCATCGAACTGTGCCTGGTCCATGTGGCGGACACTACGCCCGGTGGGCAGGGGAATATCCGTGATTACCGGTGCTCAGATAAGAGCGCAAACGCTATCGTAGTCGGGCGAATTAATATGTCTAATTCGTGGCCGAAATGTGAGCGACTTTGTGAGCGAATCGCTCTCCCCCTGAAATTTTTTTTCCGCCTACGGAAGCGGGTAGGCCAGGAACGTAGCTCTGCATACCGGATGTTATGAGTGTTTCACCAGAGTAGCGCGGAATCGAATGTCGTGGTACAATGGAATGACGAAGCCAGATATAGGAACACTAGAGCAATCCTAGCCGCGTGATCGAACAAGTTCGTAGAAGGCATCCGAGGACGCGGAGCGCTTCAGAGTGACGCAGAAATGGTTTAGTTCGGTGCCATGTTCGGGCCGAAGCTAGGGCAGATTTCGGTGCCGTGCGGGCTTTGATGTACGCGGTAGTGGTGTGGCGCGCTAAGGAATGGAAAATTCCTTATATATATATGAGGTGGTGGTGATATTAATTCCTTGATTTTATTGGAAACCACAAATCATCCCTAGCTCACCACCAGAGTACTGTTAAATTATATATTTTGTTATATATTTGGTAGGTATTACTGAATCCTATTGTAGAGGGTACAACCCCCTTCCTCGTATCCCTCTCTCTTCTAGTCTCGAACTCCCGTTTCTCTCCTCAACTTTCCTAGCCTAAAACCTCTCGCCATTTCTATGGCTTCCTACCGTTCCTAACTATCTTAGTTCAACATGGTAACAGAGCAGGTTCCCCTTCCGGGGCCTGCTCCCAACGCTTCCGCCGCGCACTCCTTCTCTCCCTCTCGCGCTACCATGGCGGCCGCGTCGTGCTGCTGTGGCGGCGTCGTCGTGCAGCTGGCCGCGTCGTGCCACGGCCGTCTCGATGCGCTTCCGTGGCGTCACGCCGTCATGGCGGCGTGACAGCGCCGTTGTGACGCTGGCCGCGTCGTGCCGCGGCCGTCTTGACGCGCTGCCGTGGCGTTGTGCCGTCGTGGTGTCGACGTCCAGCCGTGGCGGCGTGACGGCCCCGTTGAGCCGCCATCGCAGCGTCAACGTCCCGCCGCGGCATCGACGCCGCTCTGTGACGGCGTCGTCGGGCTGCAGCCGGCCGCGCAACGCCAGTGGCGCCGTTAGACCTGCCGCCTGCTCGCCAGCCACGGGCGTGATTCTGGACCGACCCACCCCCCCCCCCCCCCCCCCCCTCCCTCCTTCCCTTGCGTCCCCTCGTCTTTGCCACAGCCGTCGACTGCCTCGTGAGGGCCTTCTCCACATCAGTTGAGATTGGCCATGCCGCCGAGAGGGCGGGGGCCGCTGCACTCACCTCTAAAGTTGAAGCCGCCGCCGCCACCGCTGGTCTGTTGCCGCCGCACGCTGCCACCGCCGTCACTCTCGTCACTGCCGTGACTGCCGCAATTGCCATCTCCCGGGCCGTGGGTGTTGACCGATTCCGGAGTCATCGCGGCTGCTGCTGGGAAAGGGCGGGCTAGGTTAGGGGGTGTGGGTGTGTGTGGGCTTGTTATCACCAAGCCTAGGGGGTGTTTTAAATGATATATTTTATTATATAATTGGTAGCCTTAGTAGGTGTTACTGAAACTTACTGTAGAGAGTACAACCCCCCTCCTTGTATCCCTCTCTCTTCTATTCTCGAACTCCCTTTTCTCTCAACTTTCCTAGCCTAAAACCTCTCGCCATTTCTATGGCTTCCTACCGTTCCTAGCTACCTTAGTTCAACAAGTACTTCTTTCATTGATTCCATTTGAATTAGTATTTCCTAGCCTTAATCCATAGTGCCATACAGGGAAGAGCATGCAGATGTTGCATACATATAAAAAGAAATATTGGGGTGTTCAATGTTTTTTATACCTGATAACTTCTTATGCATTATGCACAACCCTCCTGAAATGTTTAAATTATGTAAGCATTTGCGCATTGCATTTACACCGTTGTAGTGAGCAACCAATGGCATTAGACCAACCAAAAAAATGGACGAACTTTACTGGCTGCCATATTCTTGGGAGGGAGTTTGAGGGATTTGCGGACAGACACCCTGACGTCATCCTGTGTGTGTGGGTGCGAATGGATGTGTGGCTTGTTCGGGCTTTCCTGATTCAGTGGAATTCATTTGGCTGGCTTACGCAAGGGTCGTATCTGGAGTGGTCCCCTCGCCGCAATGCAGACGATACCTGATTGGACAATGAGCTGTATCTTCCCTGACATCTGCGTCAGCAGGAAGTCTGTCTGGGTTGGAGGCAATTTTCATTGAAGATACAGGTGTACAGAAACGCTACGGGAAATTTCGGGAACGAGGAGATGGTTTGGAACGAACAACATGTGGCTCTCTGCACACGATGTCACTGTACTAAGTTCCAGAAACCCCCTCAGAGCACATCCGGGCCGTTCAGCTACGTCTTTCAGCTAATAACGCGACGCCAGGTGTCATGTTTTTGAATGATTCCCTTCCGTCAATCCGCATCAAATTCGAATGGCACACTGGAAAGGCGTCTTTTCTCGCCCACCACTCTTTCAAGAGCCCAATGGAACACCACGACCACACACCACCAAGGGTGGTCACTAGGTTTCGATCCCATCCATCCGTCCGTCCGTCCACCCTTCATTCCCCGCTCCACCGTCCATCGTGTTCTGCTCTCGGCGCGCAGCTCTCACGTTTCCCCGAGCGAGCACTTCCACCCATTCGCCCTCCCACAGCCACGCGCAGGCACATTGGTTGGCCCACGGACCGACGGGACGCATCACAGTCCAACCAGCCTATCCCTGGGTGGGCGGGAGCTTTGTGCTCCGCAGTTTTTGTGCGACCCAACACGCAACAAGCATGATGGAAGGAACGACCAACGGAACGCGCCTGCCTGTCCCTTGCTAGGTTCGCTCCTCCCCCCCCCCGCCCCCGGGTGGCTTGTCGCCCGCGTGGAGGACCTTCCGCCTCCCCGCCTGTTACCACACGCTTTCTTGGCCCAAGGTTGGAGTTTTCCGCGTGGTACACTCGTACAGTACATGCACGGTTTGCGCAAGTTCCCTGTTCTCCCTTCACTCGGCGCTTCCCCCCCTTTCCCTGCGCTAACTCCCCCGTGCCTGTTCGAGTCTCCCAACCATCTCAAGAGATACCCGTTCCTCCTATCATGGCCCTTCCCTCCGCCAACAAGCCCTCCCCTTCCGCCAGTGGGCTATGACTCCGAGCCCGACTCTGAACTCTCCATTTATAAATTGCTGCTGATTTCACTACCGATTTGTGCGCCTCGTTGAAGCAGGAACAGGCTTGCTGTACCGAAAAAATCACGTGTTCTGTGTGTGCGCATCCGTCGCGCTTCTGCTTCGACCTTGGCATATCTCCCTTGTGCACGACATCAGCTTAGCTTGCAGCAGGCCGGATTCGCAGTCAGCGCATCCTCGCTGTCCTCGAGGCGCTCTGGTCAGTCCCGCAGGAATCCCTCAGCACAGAGCGAGCTCGCCTTATCGCATCCGCCTTATCGCCTTATCGCGAGTTCTTTCCGCCGGACTCAAGTTCTCTAGCTCCTTACGGTCGTTAAGCTCAAGCTCTTGCCAGTCAAGATGGTTCCTCGTCCGCTCGACTGCACGCAGTCCGGCCCAGACTACGCCGCCGGGGGAGTTGTTTCAGGCGTTCCAGGCGTCCCGGGTGTTCTTGGAGCCCCAGGAGTCCCAGCGGATCGTGCCATGGCGTTTCTCTCCAAGTCGTTTCTCGACGTGCGTAAGAGTGCTGAGAGCGACCTCAAGCTCATCAGCACGCGCACGCAGGGCCTGAAGAAGATCGCCGAGCAGCTCGACGACTGGGAGAACATCAAACTACCCGCCGTTTTCCCCCTTAAAGACAAGGATAAGGACGTCACTGCCGGAACGCTTATCCGGAAGATTAAGGACCGCAGTATGGAGATTACGAAGCCGTTGGGGGAGCGAGCATTGTCGATCGACAGCGAGCTCGATCTGTTCTTCAAGAACTGGGAGCAGCACGTTCCTCCGGCTCTTTCCAAGCTTAAAAAGTTCCAAGACGCCGGTACCGCCGCCGGTCGCGCGCCGGTCAGCCTGAAGCCATTTGACGGCCGTCAGTTTATCAACCTGGATGAGTGGAACAAGGCCGTTAAGGCGCACAAGTGGCCGTTGGGGGAAAGCTGGACTGTTCCGCTCCAGCGTGCCATGAAAGAAGCCGCTGCGGCTGCGGCTGCCGCTGCCGCTGCTTCGCCGCCGGCTGCCGGCCCGCGATCTCCGGCGGAGTTTCTGGAGGCCGTGAAGAACCACCTGAAGCTGTCGGCGTCTAAGGACTTCTCGTCAGAGCTGGTGCGTGCTTCGGTCTTCCCTCTGCACAGCACTACCTGCGTGCTCCCCGCGTTCCACTCTTTGTCCTCTCGCCCGCTCGCTCTCTGTTTTCCTCGTCGCCCTACTCGCCCTTTCCTCCCTCTTACGTCTGTCTCCACGACTTCATTCGCTGTCTCCTTCCCCCCTTCCCTGTATTGTCCCTCCCTTGTCCTGGGCTCTCCTCCCCCCCCACACCCACCCACCCCCCCCCCGCCCTCTCTCCTCCCTTCTTGCAGCACCCGGACATGCTGCCTCTAGACGCGCCTGGGCTGCTCGAGAAGAGTTTTTTAGTTGATTCTAAATGCATTCGCCGCCTCGCTAATCTGTTCGTCTTGTCTCTCCTTTGTCCTCGTCCTCCTTTATTGCAGCACCCGGACGTGTTGCCTTTGGACGTGCCTGAGCTGCTCGAGTCCTTCGCGCGTAACTCCGAAGTGCTCCTGGACCACCTCGGCATGGACAAGGGTGAGTGCCGTGCTGTGCCGCACCATATCGTACTGTGCCATACCGTACCAAGCCGTTACGTGTCGTGGTGTGTAGTGTCAGCCATACCATGCCATGTCACAACCCCGTTTCCTCTTCCTGTTGTTTCTCTCCTCCCCAGCCGTGGCGACCAAGGTCCGCAGCACCATCCGCACGCTCCGCGCGGGGACTTCGGGCGCGGCCCCCAACGCCACCCCCGACGTGGACGCGCGCGTGCAGCAGATCATGCGCAGCACGGGGTACCGCCTGGACGAGAGCGAGGCGGGGTGGTGGAGCGCGCTCGCGCTCGCGCACGCCTCCAGCCAGCAGCAGGGGGGGCAGGCGCAGACGGCGGAGAAGGTTGAGGCCGGCGGGAAATCCGCCGTGAAAGCGGGTGTTTTGAAGAAGGGGGAACTGCCGGAGGAGGAGATTCTGCAACAGCAGCTAGAGGTGCAGCCGCAGCAGCCGGCGCAGCCGGCGCAGCAGAAGCAGCGGAAGTTTGCGATCGTGACGACGGCGAGTCTCCCCTGGATGACGGGCACCGCCGTGAACCCGCTGCTCCGCGCGGCGTACCTGGCGGCGCTGGGCAAGGGCGTGCAGGTGACGCTGCTGGTGCCGTGGCTGGCGCGCGACGAGCAGGGGCTCGTGTACCCGCGCAACATGACGTTCGAGTCGCCGGCCGAGCAGGAGGCGTATATGAGGAAGTGGCTGGAGGAGCGCGTGGGGTTCCAGCCGGACATGAAGATCGCCTTTTATCCCGGACGGGTGAGTAGTAGTATAGCAACGTCCCTGTCTGTCACTTCTGTTCCTGTCTGTCGCCTCTTCCCCCCCCCCCCCCCGCCCCTCTTTTTACGTGTCACCGTCCGCTGCGTTCGGCGCACTTCTTCCCTCCCTTCCTTCTGTTCCCTTTCCCCCCTCCTTCTCTCAATCCAAGACTCTCCCCCCCCCCTCCCCCCGTCCGCCAGTTCTCGACGGAGAAGCGCAGCATCCTGGCCGTCGGCGACATCTCGTCCTTCATCCCGGACGGCGACGCTGACGTGGCGGTCCTCGAGGAGCCCGAGCACCTGACGTGGTACTACCACGGGCGGCGCTGGACGGACAAGTTCAAGCACGTCGTCGGGATCATCCACACGAACTACCTGGAGTACGTCCGTCGCGAGAAGAACGGGCCACTGCAGGCGTTTCTGCTGGAGCACGTGAACAACTGGATGGTGCGCTGCTACTGCAACAACGTCGTCCGCCTCTCCGCCGCGACCCAGGACTTCCCCCGCGCGTCCGTGTGCAACGTGCACGGCGTGGGGGTGAAATTCCTCGACATAGGCCAGCGCGTGGCGCGGGAGATGCACGCGGGCGGGAAGCCTTTCTCCCAGGGCGCGTACTACCTCGGGAAGATGGTGTGGGGGAAGGGGTACCGCGAGCTGGTGGATCTCTTGGCGGAGAACAGGGACGCGCTGGGCGGGATCAAGGTGGACGTGTTCGGCAGCGGGGAGGACTCGGACGCCGTGCGCGCGGAGGCGAGGGCCAAGGGGCTCAGTATGAAGTTCCACGCTGGGAGGGACCATGCGGATGCCAGCCTGCACAAGTGAGTATCTAGGGGGAGGGTTGGGTTGGGGAGGGTTGGGTCGGGAAGGGCTGGGGTGGGGAGGGTCGGGGTAAGGGGGAGTCGGACGCCGTGCGCGCGGAGGCGCGGGCGAAGGGGCTCAGCATGAAGTTCCACGCGGGGAGGGACCATGCGGATGCCAGCCTGCACAAGTGAGTGGGAGGGAAGGGGGTTGGGAAGGGAGGGAGGGAAGGGAGGGAAGGGAGGGAGGGAAGGGAGTGAGGAAGTGAGGGGAGGGGTGGATGAGGGGCGTGTGGGATGGGGGGATTAGTGGGGAGGGGCTAGAAGACGAGGGTTGCGCACTTCTTTGGTAGGGCAAGGTGAGCTAGCTAACCAGAATGAGGGTGGTTGCGCATTTCTCAATTACACCCTTAGCGCAGTTGTGTAATTGTCTGCCCGTCCTGTGTCTCACTGTTCTCACTCACCCATGTCGCGCCAATACACCCCCGTCCTTGCCCTTTCGCCATGCCTGGTTCAAGGTGTTCATCAACCCGAGTCTGAGTGACGTAGTGTGCAGGACGACGGCGGAGGCCCTGGCCATGGGCAATGGTCGCATTCCCACCCTCTCAACCTCTTGGCTGCACTGCGCTTTCTCCGCCCCTTCCCCTTGTCTTCCTCCAGGTTCAAGGTGTTCATCAACCCGAGTCTGAGTGACGTGGTGTGCACGACGACAGCAGAGGCCCTGGCCATGGGCAAGATCGTGGTGTGCGCGGACCACCCCTCCAACGACTTTTTCCGCTCCTTCCCCAACTGCTTTATCTACCGCAACCAGAAGGTAAGGCATTGTCCTGGATGACCTGTATGGGGAAAGAGTATATGTGTGGGGTCGGGGGCGGGGGAGGGGGGCGGGACATGCTGTGTTGGGATGAGTGTGTGCCACTGTCTTTGGTGTCTGGACTGTGTGAATAAGAGGATCCCCAGCATTTCTGCTTTCGCTCGCTTCCAGCATCCCTCCCCCCCCCTTCCCCCTTACCTGCGATCAACACTCCCCTTTCCCTTTTGTCCTGACTCTTTCCCTCTGCTCCCTCTCTCAGGAGTTCGTTGAGAAGGTGCGAGAGGCCATGGCGTCACAGCCCATGCCTCTATCCGAGCAGCAGCGCCACATGCTGTCCTGGGAGGCGGCCACCGAGCGCTTCCTACGCTCCTCAGGCATCGAGCACGAGCTCACGCACTTGCTGCCCGCTCCTGCTCCTGCCACCAACCTAACTGCCGCTGTAACCACTCCTGCGTCTGCCGCGCCCTCCCGTTCGGCTTCCACCCTTTCTCTCACTGCTCTTGCTGCCGAATCTGCTGCTTCAGCTGCTGCTGCTCCACCCACCCCGTCTGCTGCTTCTTTGCCTGCCCCTGCTCGCCTGTCCACGCGTAGCCAGAGCTGTAATGACCTCACGGCAGGTGCTGCTATGGGCGGTGCTGCTGGTGCCTCGCCTGCGTCTACGCCCTCCTCTGCCTCGCCCGTTGCCTCTGCTATGGTGCACAGCGCATCCGCGTTTGATCTCTCTGCTCCCAGCAGCAGCAACAGCAGTGACGATTTGTTCTCCTTCCCCTTAGACCAGCAGGCCCAGTTCTCTACCAGTCTCGCCCTCCCACAAGACGCCCTCCTTACCACCCCCACCCCCGTCTGGAACAACCACAATCAGGCTCAGGCCCATCCCCCCTCCCACGTGGCGCATTCCCGCAGTACGGCCCTTCCCAGCGCGTCGCTCTCCCTCTCCGTGTCTGCCCCTGACCTTACCGATCTCACGGACCGCTTCCTGTCCTTCGCGCATTACATGGCGTCTGGGATTGAGCCGGCTCGCCTCGCGTTCGGCGCCCTCCCCAACACCATGCACATTGATGAGGCTTTGAGCAAGGACTTGGGTGTGCCATCCCCGTGGGCACAGCGGCCTTCCTATGGGTGGTGAGCGGTGGTGAGCGGTGGAGTTGTAGATGGTGCTGGATGGGTTGCAGGCTGTGTGTATGAGCAGGAGAAAGCTTGGGGAATGGTGGAGGTGGTGAAGTGATTGTCGACCCCTGTGCTAGCTCCTGTGCTAGCTCCTGTGCGAGCTCCTGTGCTAGCTCCTGTGCTAGCTCCTGTGCTAGCTCCTGTGCTAGCTCCTGTGCTAGCTCCTGTGCTAGCTCCTGTGCTAGCTCCTGTGCCAGCTCCTGTGCTGACCATGACTGGGCTGTCTTCTGCGTTCTGGTAGCAGCTTCGCAAGAGGAGGGCTTGAGTGCAGTGAGATTCGTAGCGGTGTTGGGAATATGGAAGCGCGGAGGAATTTGTGAGTGTTGATGATGGGAGGGATACTGTAGAGCCTTTTCTTTGTTCTTCTTAGATTTGGGACTCCGTGTGCCATATTTGTTCATAACATGTTTTTTTTTTGCAAATTTCTGCTAGGATTAGAGAGCCGGAGTTGGGATTAGTGGTTCAAGTGTATATATTTTATAGATAGAAAGGTTCTGTTTGAGCCTAGGAAGGTCGATGTGCAAGCACGATCGTGCTGTTTGCAACAGTAGCGAGTCACATTCAATCGAGACCTAGCCCACAGACGAGAATCAGTTGACCTTCTCCCAAAAGTCACACAACCGTCAGATCAAAGATCTATTCTAGGACATACTACGTACATACATACTCCTTCCGTACCGACCACTCTACCTGCTCCTGTCGTTTGTCTGTCGAGCTTATGCATCAATAGGCGGAGGCTAAACTGTGCAAACAAGCCGATCAGGCATTCGAACGTCAAAGGCGGAGCTTATCCAAGCCGTTCTCGTTGTACCTCCGTCTCCCCAGTCTCGCCATACTCTTTTTCCCTCTCCGTCTCTCCGTCTCCTCAGTCTCGTTCGCGCGATTCGATCACCGCGCGCCACGATGATGCGACGGCCGCCTCCGGATATCCGCAACACGTACTCGCTGCTCGTGCTCAACATCACCTTCCGTGAGTTTTGAGTCGACTCTCAAGTTGTAGGTATTTTTTTAGAATTCTCAAGAACCTCTCAAAAGACGCGTACTCGCTGTTCTTCTCCTCCTCGACACCACCTTCCGTGGGTTCCACCACACCATAGAAGATTTGTTTTGAGACGTCTCAAAACAAACCTTCCGTGAGTCCCACCACACGACACGCCCCCTTTTGAGTCGACTCTCAAAAGTCACTAGAGGTTCCCTTCCGCAAAACCGCACGCTCCCTTTTTCGAGTCGACTTTCAAAAGACACGTACTCGCTACTCGTCCTCAACACCACCTTCCGCAAAACCGCACGCTCCCTCCGGAGTGCGACTCAAAATGTCACCAAAGGTCCCTTCCGTGAGACCACACATTCCCTGCTGTAGGTGCTTTTGAGAATTCTCAAAAGACGCCCACGCGCTCCCGCCCTCGTTGCCGTTGCGTCGCATCGCATTTTGCCTCCTTTTTCTAATCCGCAGTTGTTGAGGCGGTTTCCGTGTGTAAGTAGTTTAGTCTTGAGGCGGTTTCCGTCTTAACAAAAAATCCGCCTTTTTCCTGATCCGAAGTTGTTGAGGCGGTTTATATCAGCAAGCGCTCTTCCCGCTCCTTTCTCCCCGCCCCGGCCCCCCCAACTACCCTTCCTTTCGTCTTTTTTTTTGCTCTGATCTTCCCTCCTTTACCTGCCAATGGTTTCGTGTCTTGTACTCTTGATTGCCATGGATAATGGATTGCCAGACCTGTGATCCCTTTCGTTTGCAAAAGTATTTCCTGCGTTCTTGCGTGGCTTGCATGTCTTCAAATCTTAAGTTACACTTTATGATATGCATCCTGTGTTTTGATTCGACTCAAACACACCTGATTGCAAATCTACTTTCTGCGTTCTAGTGTGGCTTGCATGTCTTACAAGCATTGGTTACACTTTATGGTATGCATGCTGGCTTGATGGCTCTGCTTTCGTCCGTCCTTCTACATATCCGCGTCGCCGTCGTTGGTCCCCCTTCCCGTCCATTTTACCATTCCGGTGCATTCCGGTGCATTCTCTTCACGCTCCCTCACTCAAGCGTTGCGCACACTTGTCCCCCCTCCTGCCCCCTCCTACCCTTCCCCTTCCCCCCCCCCCCCCCGTCGTTTCATTTCCTCTCTGATTCTTCCTCATGCGTCTTTAATCTCCTCCAGGCACCACGTCCCAGGACCTTATGCCATTGTTCGAGCGCTACGGCACGGTGTCTGACATCTTCATTCCCAAGGACAAGCGGTAGGGAAGACAAGGCGATGCGAAGCGATGGGATGCGATGGGAGGCGGTGCAATGCGATGGCGGGGTGGGGGGGGGGCATATGGGCCTGCGGATAGATGTGTGAATCGGGTATAAGGGTAGAGAAGAGCTGGAGAAGGGTTGGGTCTGATGCCGCTGTTTGAGCGCTATAGCACCGTGTCTGGCATCTTCATTCCCAAGGACAAGTGGTGAGAGGAAGGGGACGATCGGGTGGGGCTGGGTTTGTCCATCTGCGGATTGATATGTGGATGGGGTATAAGGGTAGAGAAGGGCCTGATGCCGTTGTTGGAGTGCCATGGCACAGCATCATGGCACAGCATCATGGCACAGCACCATGGCACAGCACCATGGCACAGCATCATGGCACAGCATCATGGCACAGCACCATGGCACAGCATCATGGCACAGCATCATGGCACAGCACCATGGCACAGCACCATGGCACAGCATCATGGCACAGCACCATGGCACAGCACCATGGCACAGCATCATGGCACAGCACCATGGCACAGCACCATGGCACAGCATCATGGCACAGCATCATGGCACAGCATCATGGCACAGCATCATGGCACAGCATCATGGCACAGCATCATGGCACAGCATCATGGCACAGCATCATGGCACAGCATCATGGCACAGCATCATGGCGCAGCATCATGGCACAGCATCATGGCACAGCATCATGGCACAGCATCATGGCACAGCATCATGGCACAGCACCATGGCACAGCATCATGGCACAGCATCATGGCACAGCACCATGGCACAGCATCATGGCACAGCATCATGGCACATCACCATGGCACAGCACCATGGCACAGCATCATGGCACAGCACCATGGCACAGCACCATGGCACAGCACCATGGCACAGCATCATGGCACAGCATCATGGCATAGCATCATGGCAGAGCATCATGGCACAGCATCATGGCACAGCATCATGGCACAGCACCATGGCACAGCACCATGGCACAGCATCATGGCACAGCATCATGGCACAGCACCATGGCACAGCACCATGGCACAGCATCATGGCACAGCATCATGGCACAGCATCATGGCACAGCATCATGGCAGCATCATGAGCATCATGGCACAGCAAGCATCATGGCACAGCATCATGGCACAGCATCATGGCACAGCACCATGGCACAGCATCATGGCACAGCATCATGGCACAGCATCATGGCACAGCATCATGGCACAGCATCATGGCACAGCATCATGGCACAGCATCATGGCACAGCATCATGGCACAGCATCATGGCACAGCATCATGGCACAGCATCATGGCACAGCATCATGGCACAGCATCATGCACAGCACATGGCACAGCATCATGGCACAGCATCATGGCCCAGCAACACATGGCACAGCATCATGGCACAGCATCATGGCACAGCATCATGGCACAGCATCATGGCACCAGCAGCATCATGGCACAGCATCATGGCACAGCATCATGGCACAGCATCATGGCACAGCATCATGGCACCCACAGCATCATGGCACAGCATCATGGCACAGCATCATGGCACAGGCATCATGGCACAGCATCATGGCACAGCATCATGGCACAGCATCATGGCACAGCATCATGGCACATCATGGCACAGCATCATGGCACAGCATCATGGCACAGCATCATGGCACAGCATCATGGCACAGCATCATGGCAGCAGGCAGCATCATGGCACAGCATCATGGCACAGCATCATGGCACAGCATCCATGGCACAGCATCATGGCACAGCATCATGGCACAGCATCATGGCACAGCATCATGGCACAGCATCATGGCACAGCATCATGGGCACAGCATCATGGCACAGCATCATGGCACAGCATCATGGCACAGCATCATGGCACAGCATCATGGCACAGCATCATGGCACAGCATCATGGCACAGCATCATGGCACAGCATCATGGCACAGCATCATGGCACAGCATCATGGCACAGCCACCATGGCACAGCCATCCATGGCACAGCATCATGGCACAGCACAGCATCATGGCACAGCATCATGGCACAGCATCATGGCACAGCATCATGGCACAGCATCATGGCACAGCATCATGGCACAGCATCATGGCACAGCATCATGGCACAGCATCATGGCACAGCATCATGGCACAGCATCATGGCACAGCATCATGGCACAGCACATCATGGCACAGCATCATGGCACAGCATCATGGCACAGCATCAATGGCACAGCATCATGGCACAGCATCATGGCACAGCATCATGGCACAGCATCATGGCACAGCATCATGGCACAGCATCATGGCACAGCATCATGGCACAGCATCATGGCACAGCATCATGGCCACCAGCATCATGGCACAGCATCATGGCACAGCATCATGGCACAGCATCATGGCACAGCATCATGGCACAGCATCATGGCACAGCATCATGGCACAGCATCATGGCACAGCATCATGGCACAGCATCATGGCACAGCATCATGGCACAGCATCATGGCACAGCATCATGGCACAGCATCATGGCACAGCATCATGGCACAGCATCATGGCACAGCATCATGGCACAGCATCATGGCACAGCATCATGGCACAGCATCATGGCACAGCATCATGGCACAGCATCATGGCACAGCATCATGGCACAGCATCATGGCACAGCATCATGGCACAGCATCATGGCACAGCATCATGGCACAGCATCATGGCACAGCATCATGGCACAGCATCATGGCACAGCATCATGGCACAGCATCATGGCACAGCATCATGGCACAGCATCATGGCACAGCATCATGGCACAGCATCATGGCACAGCATCATGGCACAGCATCATGGCACAGCATCATGGCACAGCACCATGGCACAGCATCATGGCACAGCATCATGGCACAGCATCATGGCACAGCATCATGGCACAGCATCATGGCACAGCATCATGGCACAGCATCATGGCACAGCACCATGGCACAGCATCATGGCACAGCATCATGGCACAGCATCATGGCACAGCATCATGGCACAGCATCATGGCACAGCATCATGGCACAGCATCATGGCACAGCATCATGGCACAGCATCATGGCACAGCATCATGGCACAGCATCATGGCACAGCATCATGGCACAGCATCATGGCACAGCATCATGGCACAGCATCATGGCACAGCATCATGGCACAGCATCATGGCACAGCATCATGGCACAGCATCATGGCACAGCACCATGGCACAGCACCATGGCACAGCATCATGGCACAGCATCATGGCACAGCATCATGGCACAGCATCATGGCACAGCATCATGGCACAGCACTGTGCCTTGCACGCAGCCGTCCCTGGCTGGGTGTGTGGGTCTGCTTCCTTGTCCACCAGACGTTTCGTTTATGCCTAACTTGCGTTCTACTCTCTCCCGTCCCGTTTCCTTCCTTTTCCCTCCCTTCTCCCTCCCTTCTCCCTCCCTTCTCCCTCCCTTCTCCCTCCCTTCTCCCTCCCTTCTCCCTCCCTTTTCCCTCCCTTTTCCCTCCCTTTTCCCTCCCTTCCCTCCCACCTCCACCTGCACTCCTGTTCCCACTTTTGTCTCTTCTTTTCTCGCACGTCCCCCCTTCTCCCCTTTCTTTCCCCCCCCCCAACGCCCCGACCCTTCGTCAACGCATCCCCTGCACTCACGTGCGTGCACGTGTGTCATGTGCGCGGAGGTGAGCAGCACGGGCACATCGCGGGGGTTTGCGTTTGTCCGTTTCAAGCACGAGGACGAGGCCGCCAAGGCCGTCGAACGCCTTGATGGTGGGTGCTGTGCGCTACTGTGTGGTGCTCTGCGCTGATGTTTTGCTGGTGATGACGATTCCGCAAATGCTGGTGGTGCTGCTCGTTTGTGTGCTTCAAGCACGAGGACGACGCCGCCAAGGCCATCGGACGCCTCGACGGTCAGTGCTGCTGCTGCTGCTGCTGCCGCCGCCGCCGCCGCCGCCGCCGCTGATGATGACGGTGCGGATTCTCCTGATGCTGGTGCTCTCTGTCAGTGCTCCAACTCCTTGCTGCGCTGGGAGGCGCATAGTAGGTACAGCATACGTATGTGGTGGCACAAGCTATGTGCCATTCCAGCTTGCATTGCATGCAATGCTGCCCAGGCCGAACGATTAACCTTTAGGTTGCCTTACTTTCACACCTGTCTCTTCCTAGTCCCTCTGTCTCCCTCCTCCCCCACAAACTCCTCTTTATCCCCCCCATCTCCTTCTCTCTATCCCCCCCATCTCCCTCTCTCTATCCCCCCCATCTCCCTCTCTCTATCCCACCCATCTCCCTCTCTCTATCCCCCCATCTCCTTCTCTCTATCCCCCCCATCTCCTTCTCTCTATCCCCCCCATCTCCCTCTCTCTATCCCCCCACCTCCCTCTCTCTATCCCCCCCATCTCCCTCTCTCTATCCCCCCCATCTCCCTCTCTCTATCCCCCCCACCTGCCTCTCTCTATCCCCCCCACCTCCCTCTCGCCATCCCCCCCACCTTCCTGGCCCCACACACACACTGTCTCCCCTGCCGCCGCTGCTTCTCCCACACAACCCCCCCATCCTCCCTTGTTCGCCACGCATCAGCCACCACAGTGGACGGGCGCGAGATCATGGTAAAATGAACTTCGCCGAGTACGCGCAAGGACTTTTGTGGGAGGCGCCTCAACAGTCCCGCCTTCTTCTCACGCACCCCGCCATCCTCCCTTGCTCCCCACGCATCAGCCACGACCGTGGACAGGTGTGAGATCATGGTGAAATGAACTTCGCCAAGCACAGGCGCACCGACTTTTGAGGGGCGTGCCTCAATATTCGCCTCCTCTCTTCTCACGCACCCCCCTGCCCCCACACACTCCCCTCCTCCCTGTTCCCTTGTGTGTGGCACACCCCACCCCACTGCCCCAGGCACAACCGTGGACGGGCGCGAGATCATGGTGAAATTCGCCAAGTACGGACGCAACGAAGAGATCATGTGAGATGGGATGCGGTGGGATGGGAGGGGAGGGGAGGGGAGGGGAGGGGAGGGGAGGGGAGGGGAGGGGAGGGGATGGGATGGGAGTGGGGATGGGATGGGATGGTACGGGAGAGGTTGGGCGTTTTTAGGATCCTAGGCTGTGCTTGTTCCAGTGTGGCATTTGTAAGGTAAGGCAAGAGCGTGCCAGTATTGTATACGATGTGCCAGTAGTGACACTAGTGAATGTTCCTATACAAAGCACTCGTCTATCCCCAGCCTATCCCCCCGCAGCCATATTTGTCCTTCTCCCTGTTTCCTCTGCCCCAGTCAGGCTATTGTGGGCATACCCCTTCTTTTGTCATACATGCCCCCATGCCCCACTGAAATGCATGCCCCATACCCCATGCCCCATTGTCATGCATAACCTCTCCTCCCGTAACCAGAGATAGAGGCATGATCACGGAGCTTGGCGCTCCTCCACCGCCCCCCATGCACCATGCTCCACGGTGAGTGGCTCCTAGTCCCATGCACCATGCTCCATCCACCGTGCACGCACGGTGCACCTTGCACTGTGCACCATGCACCACGCATCATGCGCCGTGCCCCTTGGCGTGTTCTCGACTGTGCGGCCACACCCATTCCTCCGTTGCCTTAATCCCCTGTTCTTCCTTAACCCTGTCTGTTCTTTTCTCTCCCTCCCTTTCTCCCTTCCCCCTTTCTCTTCTTTCCGTGCCTCTCTCCGCTTCTTCCCCCCCCCCCCCCCCCCCCCCCCCCGCATTTCCCCCAGTTATGACCGCGGCCCCTACCCCGGCCCCCCGCCGTTCTTTGATGGGAGGGGAGGGCCGGATTACAGGGGCATGGGGGGGGGAGGATGGGGGGGAAGAGGGGGGGGCTATGGCGGCCCCGGCGGGGACTATGGGAGGGGGATGATGGGGGGGTACCGTGGTGGTGGCGGTGGTGGTGACTATAGGGGGGGTGGCGATTCCAGAGGGGGCGGAGGATACAGGGGAGGTTCTGGTGGTGACTATAGGGGGCGGGATTATGACAGGGAGAGGGATAGGGGGAGGGAGAGGGAGAGAGGGAGAGAGAGGGAGAGGAGTAGGGAAAGGAGCAGGGATAGGGATAGGGAGAGGAGGACGGATGATGAGCCTTACAGGAAGAGGGAGGAGGAGGGGCGTGGGCGGAGTGGGGAGAGGGAGAGGAGGGATGAGACTGAGGAGGAGAGGAGGGAGAGGAAGGAGAGGGAGAGGCGTGAGGAGGAGAGGGAGAGGAGACGGGAGGGAGGGGATAGAGGGGGGGAGGAGGATGACGATAAGGATTCTTCTGGTAGGCGGGGGAGGAGGAGGAGGAGGGATGACGACACTGATAGTGAGGAGGACGAGGAGGAGAGGAGGAGGGAGAGAGAGAAGTCAGAGGAGCAGGAGGATGGGGTGGGAGGAGCAGGGGGGGACGAGGAGAAGCAAGGAAGGTCCAGTGGAGACGAAGGGGAACAGCAATAGTGGCAGGTGAGTCTAGTTTTGAGGCGCCTCAAAACGGGAGGTCCAGTGGATTCCAGGGGGATCAGCAGTAGCGGCAGGTGAGTGAGTCCTGGAAGGATTACAGGTGGGCTGCAGACGCCTTATCTCCATCAAGACTGTTGATTAGGAACTTACAGCAACAAAACGAACCCCATAGAGCGAGATTGTGGGTTTGAGAGAGAAGAGAGCGTGGTTTTTTTAAAGGGCTGTTGTTTGGGTTATGCAGCCAGCTTGAGGATCAGGAGGATGGGGTGGGGGGAGCAGGGTTTTTTTTTTTTTTTTTTTTTTTTTTTTTTTTTTTTAGTTCTCAGAAACACCCTTTGACAATTCTAAAAAACGTTATGCAGCCAGCTTGAGGATCAGGAGGATGGAGTGGGGGGATCGGGGGGGGGAAGGAGAAGCACGGAAGGTCCAGTGGGGATGAAGGGGAGGAGAAATAGTGGCAGGTGAGTGGCTAAAGGTGAGGGGCAAGGGGTGGAGGGGCGAGGGGTGGAGGGGCGAGGGGTGGAGGGGCGAGCGGTGGAGGGGTGGAGGGGCGAGGGGTGGAGGGGTGGAGGGGCGAGGGGTGGAGGGGCGAGGGGTGGAGGGGCGAGGGGTGGAGGGGTGGAGGGGCGAGGGGTGGAGGGGTGGAGGGACGAGGGGTGGAGGGGTGGAGGGGCGAGGGGTGGAGGGGCGAGGGGTGGAGGGGCGAGGGGTGAGGGGCAAGGGGTGAGGTGCAAGGGCTAAGGTGTTTCATTCAAAGTTGCAAGAACCCAAGCACTAATGCTCCTCCTCTCCACATGAGTCGAATTAGTTTTTAGAATTCTCAAAAACCAATTCAAGTGTTTCATTCAAAATTGCAGGAACCCAAGCAGTAATGCTCCTCCTCTCCACATCCCATGCCCTGTCCCCACTCGTGCTCTCTCCCTCTCTCATGCTCTCTCTCCCCCCGCTTGTCACATCCCCCCCCTCCAACCCCCCCTCCTCCTGCCCTCCCCTTTGCAGGCACGCATAGTCAGTGCACTTTAGCCGTGCTCGTTTCTCTCTCTATCTCGCGCTGCCATGGCGGCCGCGTCAAGCTGCTGTGGCCGCGTCGTCGTGCCGCGGCGCCGCCGTCGACGTCCATGGCGCCCGCGTCCAGCTGCTGTGGCCGCGCCGTCGTGCCGCAGCTCCGCCGTCGCGTCAAGATGCTGTCGCGACGTGACGGCGCCGTCACGCTGCCGCGGCGTCTACGCGACAGCGCGCGGTCGGCGTAACGGCGACGTCGTGCTGCCGTCGCAACGTCGACGCCCCGCTGCGGCATCGACGCCGCTCCATGACGGCGTCGTCGGGCTGCAGCCGGCCGCGTGACGCTTGTGGCGCCGCTAGACCGGCCGCCCGCATGTCAGCCTGTGGCGCCCCCCCCCCCCCCACCCCCCTCCTTCCCTTGTGCCCTCTTCCATTCCGCAGACGACGGCTGACTCCCGCCGGCCGTCCCACCGTCGCGGGGCCTGGCCACGTCACCGAGAGGTGCGGGTGCCGCCGCCGCTGCCGCTGTTGTCGAAGCCGCCGCCGCCGCCGCTGTCGCCGCTTGCGTCGGGGCCACGCAGCCGCACGCCGCCGCCGCCGCCGCTGTCGACACTGCCGCCGCTGCCGCCGTCGCCGCCGCAGCCCCTGCGGTCGACGTCGCCGCCTCACGCGCCGTGGGGTCGACCGACCTAGAGTCGCTGTCACTGTGGCTGGAATGGGGGTGCTAGGTTAGGGGGTGTGGGTGTGTGTGGGCATGTGACTACCAAGCCTAGGGGGTGTGTTCAAATTATATAAGTTATAATTTAATATAGGCTTGGTAGGTTGTTACTGAACCTTTCTGTAGGGGGTACAAACCCCTCCTTGTACTCCCCTCTCTTCTAATCCAACCCCTTTTCTCTTCTCAACTTTCCTAGCACCTAAAACCTCTCGCCATTCTCATGGCTCCTCCTAGCTCCTAGCTAAACCTTGTGCCATTCTATGGCTTCCTAGCTAAGCTAGTTTCTGACAAGGAAGTGAAACAAGGAGTGCCAGGAGATCTAACTTCTAAGGGTAAAGTTGGTCAGCTGGGCAGGGGGCGGGAGAGGTGAGAGGAGAACAGAGGAGAGGAAGGGAGAGGAGCGGAGCAGGGCAGAAGACAAGAGTAGAGCACTGGCTGGTTACTGCTTAGAGTTTAGTTGAGCCGAGCTTAGGGCAGGACTGAACTGTACCTGCCTTGCTAGAATTGGGAGTGTTACCGTATGAGGACTAGTAGATAGATGCCTTACCCGTGTGGGAAACGCAGCAGGAAGGGTGAAATAGTAATTGTGCCTGGGTGGGAAGGAGTTTGTGCAACCGATCCCATGATGACCAGCCAGACCAGAGTGTCGGAGAGAGTGCTGGTTGGGATTTCCAGTGGCAAGGACCGGTACGGTATGGTACTCTACGTGAGTGTTGGGAGAGTTTGGGAGTGCCACTTATACATATATTGTATATGTATAAGGACAACGGTACGGTATGTCAACTTATACATATATTGTATATGAAACAATAATAGGCTAGAAAGGTTCGTGCTCTTAGAGAGTACAACACCCAACCATATATTCCCTTGTATCCTTATTCTGAGATGCGTTAAATTGAAATGGTATCAGATTAGGTTATGCCTCCCCACCCGCGCTTCCTCCATAGCCTGCCCTAGTCCTGTCGCGCCGCCCTAGCCCGCCTGTTGCCCCTTAGCACGCCGCGTGCCCCCTAGCGAGCCACGCAGCTTCTCGCACACCGCTTGCCCCTAGCTCGACGCTGGCCCCTAGCTCGCCAGCGGCCCTTTGCTCGCCAGCCCTAGCTCGCTGGCCCTAGCTCGCAGGCCCTAGCTCGCCGGCCCTAGCCCGCCGGCCCTAGCACGCCGGCCCTAGTTCGCCGGCCCCTGCTCGCCGGCCCTAGCTCGCCGGCCCTAGCGCGCCGGCCTTCGCTTGCCGGCCCCAGCACTCCGGCCCTTGCTCACCGGCTCCAGCTCGCGCTGGCCCCAGCTCGCCAGCCCTAGCTTCCGCCGGCCCCGGCTCCCACCAGCCCCTGCTCCCGCCGGCCCCCAGCTTGCGCCGGCCCCAGCTCGCCGGCCCCTGCTTGCCGGCCCCAGCTCGTCGGCCCCTGCTTGCCGGCCCCAGCTCGCGCCGGCCCCAGCTCCCGCCGGCCCCCAGCTCGCGACGGCCCCGGCTCGCCGGCTCCCTGCTCGCCGCCGGCCCGCAGCCGACCTCTGCTTGCCGCGCTGCCCGGTTCGTCGCCGGCACCGGCTGCAACGCTGCCCCTGCTGACTGCCGGCCCCTTCTCGCCTCCGGCCCTGGTTCCACTCTGAGCCGGCGCTTCCGTCGGTTGTCTCCTCTATTGTGGCTCCACAGCTCTCCACCTCTCTCTACCGCTCTCCACCGCTCTCCACTGTTCTCACCGCTCTCCACTGCTCTTCACCGCTCTCCACTGCTCTCCATAGCTCCTGCCTGCCCCCTACTCCTCTTCTAGCGATTGTCAACCGCTGCGGCTATGGTGATGGCGGATGCTATGCCCCGCCTGGATGCGGAGGGTCGGGCGATTGACTTTGAGGCATGGCTCGCCGACCTTCGTCGTCAGCTGAAGGGTCAGCGCTAGGATGACTAGTCCCTAGCCGTCCATGTCGACGGTAAGCTCCCCTGCCCCGATCCGCCTGGTGCCCTCCCTGACGCCCCAACGTCTGCTGAGCGTGAGGCGTTTGCAGTTGCTGAGCTCGCCCGCTAAGTCTAGGAGTCGCGCGAAGCTGTCGCGCAGCTTGCTATCAGTCATGCCCTCCCCCTGTCCGAGCGTGCCCACTTTCAGGCCGTAGAGATTACGAAGGAGTACCCAGATGCCGTCATTGCGCACTATTCCACTCCCTCCTACGCCTCCTTCTGCCCCTGCTCTTCCATGATCTTGCGTCCTTTCCCACTATCGCTGATTTTGCCACTCATCTGCGCGCACTTGAGTCTAGCTACCGCACTGCTAGCACTAAGGCCCAGCTCACTATACTGCCCCCCCCCCCCCCCCCCCTTGGCGTTACCCTCTACTTCCTTGCCACGCGCCTTCTTGACCTCCTCGCCACAGCGCGCGACGCCTTCCTTAGTCTCCACCCCGCTGACCTCACTCTCACCAAGTTCATCACCACCCTGTCCGTGCTAGAGACCCGCTAGCGCACTATCGTTCAGTCTAGCGGTACTGCGGCGGTCTCTATCTTCCAGGGATGTGCTCCCTCCCAGTGCACTTCTCTAACGTTTCTGCTGCTGTCGCTGAGACAGCCCCTTCCGCTGAGTTCCTCGCAGCGGCCTCAGTGCAGCCTCGTCAGCAGAAGGGGGGCGTGGCGGAGGGAGGGGTGTCGGGGGTGGCGGAGTTGGCGGAGGTGGTGGAGGTGGTGCGAGTGCCGGTGGTACTGACGAGGGGGACGGGGCTGATGCCCCAGCGCAGCAGCAGCAGCCGTGGGGACCCCCGCCGCCGTAGTGGCCTGGAGGCTTTGGTGGCGGCGGCCGTGGTGGCGGCCCGCGCAGCTCGATGTCCGGTGCTAGCTCCAGCCCTGTGCCTTGGGCGCCAGGGGGTCTCCCCCAGGGGCTCGCTGGTGGATCGGCGTGGGAAAGGGGGCCTGGTTTCCTCCCGGGATCTCCTCAAAGCCCAAAAAAAAAAAAAAAAAAAAAAAATCCAGCCTTGTGAATTGCAAGTACCAGCTCCAGAATGGTCCCTTTCGTGGCACCATGTGTAGCCGATCTGCTCACACTGCAGCCCACTGCAAACGCCACCTCGACAACCTCTTCTGTCTCTGCTTCGGCCCCCGGCCGGACCTCCCGGACTGGCCCAGCCTTGTACGTTGCCGCATGCCTGTCTTCGAGATGGATATGGATAAGATTCGCTCTACTTTGTATATCATGTATGCTGATGACTCTAGTGTGACTGGACCTTATTACCTTGTGTTGCCTAGTGTACGTGCACCCAGTGTATGTAGTCTAGGATCCCCCCCCTGCGTCAGGCGTAGGATCTTCTGCCTTGTTTAGCCTAGGCTCCACGCTAGTGCCCCCGTCGGCTGACGCTACCGCTGCTCTCTCCTTCACGTTGGTCTCTGGTGCGTCCACCTGCTTCTTTCGATATCACACCGCTCTCACGCCGTTTGCCGCCCTCGCAGCCGTCGCTCTTGCTGACCCTTCCTCAAGTCCAGTAGTTGCCCGTAGTTCCACCACTCTTCCCTGTTCGGCGGATATCTCGGGCTCCCTTACACGTCTGCACAACCCCTCGTTCTCCAGGAACCTAGTTGGTGTCGGCTGTCTTCAGGACCTCGGCGTCACCACTGCGTTTCCTGGACACGAGCAGTACGCAGTCTGTACCGAGGCCGCCACTGGTGCCCCCCTCACCACGTTCCCCCAGGACTCGTTGTCTGGCCTGTTCCCGCTGTACACCGCGTCCCCCCCCGGTGGGGGCATCCCCCCAGGTGGCTACGTCGACCCAGATCAGTGGCTTGCTCGTGTCGGTCGCTCATTCACCAGTCGCTTCTGTGGCACCACTGTCTAGGTCACCCTGCTCTCTCGCGTCTGCGTCACATGTCCCAGCACGGCCTTGTCTTAGGTCTCTCTGCGTCACTCCCTGCCCTCCCTCCCTCGCCCGCGCCTCCGTGCACGCCTTTCGTCGAGGGTCGGCTGCGCCGAGCTCCTCACTCCTCATTTCCCCCCACCACTTCGCCACTCCAGACCCTGCACTTGGACGTCTGGGGCCCAGCCCCCGTCCCTGGACCGCGTCGCGAGCGCTACATTCTTGTGCTCGTAGATGACTACAAGCGCTACACCACGGTGTTTCCCCTGGAGCGGAAGGCCGAAGTGCCTGTCGTCCTTATCCCGTGGCTTGTAGATGCGCGTCTCTACCGCGCCCTGCCCGTGCTCCATCTCCACTCCGAACGTGGCGGTGACTTTGCCTCCGGTCGGCTTGGCCAGTTCTGTCGTACGGAGGGCATCACAGAGTCGTACAGACTGTCGGACTCCCCACAGCAGAATGGGATCGCTGAGCGACGCATCGGTTTGATCATGGAGGTGGCTCGTACTTCCATGATCCATGCCGGTGAACCCGATTTTCTGTGGTCATTTGCGGCCATAATCCCAACGGCCGCAGGTTTCGCCGACCCTCCTTTGGACCGGGTTCCCTGGTGACACGTCTGCGTTTCACGTTTGGGGCTGCC